CTGCTTTTGTCTGCATTTCTCTACAAGTATTGCAGTCACAAAAACTAAACCAACTTACTGTATGGAGACCTAATATAAAACATATTTAAAGATAGAAGGTAGGCAGATATTACTTGCCATCTTTCTTATACATCTGATAAACAGTATGTACACTTCCACTAAAGATCCCACACAATATCAAACTCTAGGCATGAAAAAATTAGCAATTAAACATTTGTGTTAATGTCACTATAACCTCTAAAGCGCATGAAATAAAAATACCACTGCCTTTTTCTGCCGTTCTTAAAATCAACTTACCTATATCTTTCTTGATCCTGTAAAGGAGAAGATGCCCTTGTTTGGTACCAACGAGGAGCCATTCCTCTACAAAGAGTGGGGAGAAAAGAATCTAATCAGTATCAGCAAAGACCACTCTTAACCACCTCTGTTACATTTATCAAATACCAGGAAACTTGCTTCAAATTCCTAATAGGGATTTATGTTGCGAGACATGCATGTTTCCCATCATTTCTCTGGTGGAAATGCTCAGTAGTAGCTTTCATTCTTGGGAGATAATATCCGGGAATCAAGCAGTAAAAATGAGACTACAGCTTAGATATTACCTACTTGTTCTTAGCAAGGTAGAGGAACAAGCAATTGCATCTTTCATGCAATTAAAAGAGATAATAAACTATTCTTCAGATACCATCTCCCAGAGAGGAACAGTGCTACATAATGGGGGGGGAGGGGGGAGGAAGAGAGGGGGGAGGCCAGGGGAAAAAAAAAAAAACAAAAAAAAAACTATTCTTCAGATACCATCTCCCAGAGAGGAACAGTGCTACATAATGGGGGGGGAGGGGGGAGGAAGAGAGGGGGGAAGCCAGGGGAAAAAAAAAAAAACTATAGAAATTACATTAGGTTAGGAGTATTAAGAGGTTTGTTTTGTTTATAATAGTCTTTATGAAGGAGTAGCAATGCCTGAAAGGATTCCGGCAGCTTTGCTTAAATTGCACTTGAACTGCTTGGAGACTCATTTAGATTCATTTAGAATTTACAAAAATACACTTTTTTTTAATTTAAAAACTCTGTTGTTGAGGGTTTCAAATTTGTCCAGTGTATAGCATCTGTCATACAAAAGTCATAGTACCTTTATTTGGTCATTAAATTTGACTGAAATTCTTCCTCCCTGATGCAGGTCATATAAGAAACAAGCATAAAAGAACATTTCTCTCTAGCATCACTACTTCCTCATTACCAAACTACATGTATTTTAATAAAACCTTGTTTCCTGGAAGGCCTTTCCTCCACTATTTGGTAGAAAAGCTGCAGAACCAGAATTACAACTTTTTTAAAGCAAGTATGCTTCACGGGCTGTTTCGGCTTTTTTCTACTTCAGCAAAAGAAGGGCTTTCAAAGAGAGAAGGATAAAGGCCTCACCACAGAAACAAACAATGCTCGCATCTTCTCTAGTACAGAGTCTAGCGCGAACGACCACGTTTAGGTTTGGCAGCACTACTCAAGTTATAATTTCGTCCTTAAAAAAAAAAATTACACGGGTCACCGACCCAGAGAGTCTAGGATTTTTTTAATTACTCATTTTCTTCCACGACACTACATCTGCTGGACACTGCTCGGGCCGCTTGCGAAGCTGTATCGGCGCGGACAGAGGAGCGGGCGGACAGCAGGAGCGACCAAGACCAGATCAAATCCTTTGCAGGCACGGATGCCCCCAAAACATAACCGATGCATCTACAGGCCACTAACACACGCGGAGAGAGGGTAAAACCAGGACTCCAGAAGCGCAACCTCAGCACACCGCAGGCTCCCTACGGCAAAGCCCGGACACGAACAGGCCGCGTTTCTCTCAGCTCGCCCCGGCCGGGCCGCCCGGCACCGCGGCAGCCCCCTCCGGAGCCGCCCGGCGCCCCCTCCCCTCCCG